GGCTATTACAAGAAGAAGATATCATGTTAATTGAACTTTCTTTTGGTCAATGGAAATTCCTGTACATAAACTAATATGCCTTGTGCTTTCACTACATCTGGATGATAACTGTTATACTTTAATATGCAAGTAAAAGGCTCTAGTGCAGGGGTCGGCAACCCCTGGCACGCGTGCCAGCATTGGCACGCGGCACCGTAACCAGTGGCACACTAGGAATAAGTGGAATAAGTGTGCAAAATATTTAAATTGTATTTTCGGATCCTGAACGAGACCGCCGCCAGAGCGCGTCTACCCTTTACCTGCAGAAGGAAGCCATGCACGCAACGCAGCCCCGCTCTCTTTATCTCCAGGTGACTTTCTGCCGCTTTCCTCCGTGGTGCAGTGCTGATCGTTTCACCACGGAGGAAAGCACTTCACTAATTGCACTACCCATAAGGAGCTGTACAAATGCCGCAGTTTTTTTTTTTTAGTTGAAAGCCCAGTGGCGATCTGCTCATCTCTCATCGAAATAATTTGCTACAAAGGGGCGGACTGGCCATCTGTGTGTTGAACTTTCCTGTCGGCTCCCAGACCGTAGTCGAGGAGGGCAGAAGCAACAAGCTTCAGGTTCAATAACCCACTTTAGCTTAAATGACTGGAGAGNGGAGGCAGACACAAGGATGGTTCTCCATGCCATACCACTTGCAGAGTCATATTCCCGCATCATTGTGAGGTCTGATGATACAGATGTGGAAGTACTGCTGAGCAGTACTTCCACATCTGTATCATCAGACCTCACAATGATGCGGGAATATGACTCTGCAAGTGGTATGGCATGGAGAACCATCCTTGTGTCTGCCTCCTCCTGATCACTGTACAGTGATGTCAAACTGCTTACTCCTGCTGTGCAGATGCTCTTCACCACGTCTCCTTCGTCAAATCCTGAATGTAGTGTCTGTGGGACAGCAGTGACAACGTAGTTGCTCACAAACATGCACAGTGCAGTCTTGTTTCCACTACTCCTCAAGTACTTCCTGTAGTTTGGATCAGCTGAAGCGACTTAGCTTACTTCCTGTAGTTTTGCTCTAGGTTATAACACTTCTGTTATTCTTCAGAGCTGGGTCCTCATTACAGGTCTGCACTTTTTTAAATGCACCTGCATTGACACGCCCGTTCACAAAATCATACAGACTGTTTGGCACATATCATATATATATATATAGAAAACAAGAAATTAAATGTGTGGTTATGGTATGCAGGTATGACGGCCCACAGCCCATCAAAGACCTGGAGAGGCAAAGGAGAGGTGCAAGTGATGGAAGGCCTGCACATGTTATCACTGGCAAAACAAATGTCCCAAACTACAGGACAGCAATATGGTGTCACAGCCCGAACCCTAACCCTTGTTAAGGAGTCCTGTTGGCAAGGGGTGGATTGTCAGAGATGGGTACATTAAACCAATGCTATTTACAAAACCCCCAGCACCTACAGAAGTGAGACACATTACTCACTTGTATTGCAAAGATGCAAAGTGTGGAGAGAGTGGAAAGTGCCAGTGCCTCTTTGTTGGCCTTCCCTGTACAGAGTTCTGCACCTGCTGTGCAGAATGTCAAAATGTGTCCCCTAACGTTTCTGAGGAACCCGACATTTAACATTATATTCTAGTATCTATATACTTGACCTCTCACAGAATTATTTGATGAATTGTATACTGTACTTTGAATTAAGGTTCCAGTTTCAATAAAACCTGTACTATTTACACCTATGTTTTTAGAGGCTTGCAATTTAGAACTAATACACTTTATTGTATTGGGTTACTCTTATTCTGACTATTTGGTGATGTAGTTCAGCCACCTGGTATTTCCCTCTCCAAATATAATGACCATCAGAGTGAGCATTCTTAACTTATAGGCTATTATGCCACTTATCCCCCATTCAGAGTTTGACTGTATCAGAGAAGAGGTAGGCCTATGTCTAAAGAAATCTCATTTGCAATAGAACTGTACCAGATATTTCCATACAACTACTGGTTAGTGTTCAATAGCACCCTAGACAATTCAGTAATGTTTTTTTTTTTTTTAGGGATTACTGTTTTTCTGATAAATAATAAAAAAGTTATTGAGTCCTATGTTCCTATCACCAAAAAGTACAATTTCCGTCTAAACTAAAGCTAAGTTTACAGGACTATAATTCAGTATTTTTTTAGGTAAATAATTGTCTGACTATTTGGTGATGTAGGATAGCCACCTGGTTCATACCTCAGCAAATCTGAAGAGGAGAAGAGTGATCCTTTTCTGTCACCTCTCCCATATTCGTCCTGGCCTAATTTGGCTCTTTTTCAGGGATTGGGGTAGTCTAAAGAACAACCCAAAAAACATTTTTTCCCCCAAAATAACATTTGACATCAATCAATGTAATTAATGGGAGACCCCAAAGATAAGAAAAATCATTGTTGTATTTTGTTCTACCTCGGGTAGGGGTATCTCGAAAAATAAAGCCTTTTTTGAGGACTTGCTGCTATAGACAATTAGTTTTTGATTCAACTAAATCATCTAAATCAGTGTCCAATAGATCAACACATAGACTTGAATTGAACACACATACTATTACATAGTATAATAATAATAATAATAATATCAATAATATTAATAATACTAATAATTCATTTAAAACTGCTGCAACCTTACAAATGACCATCATTGTATCTATCCATAGTACAAATCGTTTCATTCAGCCCAAAATTTATTATCTTGTGAAAATAGGTATTACAAAGGTATGGGATGAGCCAACATCATTGTGGTTTAAACTGTTTCCCGTTTGAAGATCAATTGATGGTGTCTGAAAGTTTGCATGCAGCTGGGCTGAACTGGTGAACCCATTACCCCCCTTGGTAACATTTGCATCTTCATTTGAGGCCTTCCTCTGGCAAGGCTGACATCTACTGGTCGGATTTTGGTTTGAATTTTTTTTATTTTCCCTTTTGCCTTTAGAGAAAACTGATATTGTGTGATTTGGCAACTCTAGAAAAAAGAATGACCCTTAAATGTTTGTGAATGCACATGCTTATTGATTCAGTTTATGGAATGACCAAGTAATCAAAACCAGATTTAGAGTGATACCTGTGTTGACAACCAATCCTAAACAGTCATTATACATTGATGCGTGGACATGCTATCAGAGATCCTTTAGAATGATGATGATGAGTTTCTCTTATCATAATAATCAGATATTACACCATACACTTATGAAACGGCACACATTATATTTTTGTTCAGAATTGCATCAATGCTTTCACAGTGTTTGAAAACAAAATTCTCAAAAAGGTGATGAATTTCCAAATGTTGTTGATATAATTTGGCCCCTCTCTCATTGGTTTTCGATGGTTGTGGGCCCAGATTTGAATAAGAGGGATGTGGTTCGCCCCGGGGTAGTAAACAGCACAGAAACACGGCCTTTTAGTTCCTGTGGTCACGCTGTTGTGCAGCGTCTAATGTTTAAAGAGAAGGGTGGAGCAGCATTTAGTAAGGAAGCATTTTATATAGATGCCACTTGGCAAGGAATGGGGTGTTGTAGGGTGGATGAGAAAAATACCCACAAAAGATGAAAGGAAATCATTCAAACAGGTATGAAGGTGAGATTAATTAACATAATGGTTAATTATGAAATGATTAATGACATGGATGCAGCAGGTATGGGCAAATTGATGGATTGATGCTTGGATGCGGTTTCAGGCTGCAGCGTGTCAGGAAAACCAAAGGTCTGTGCTGTGCCCGGCCGTCGTCCCAGCAACAGCATAGTTACCATTCTTTCCTGCCACGGACCTCAGACCAACAACCACCACTTCCTGTCCTCATATACGGGCACACAGACACAAACATACACGCATGCATGCACACACACACACACACACACACACACACACACACACACACACACACACACACACACACACACACACACACACACACACACACACACACACACACACCTATAACCTATTTGGCTTACTATAAACGTCCTTTTAACAACTTTTTCAAACCCTCTGACAAAGGTTCTTGGACACTTAGCTACAATAAGTGTGTGTGTGTGTGTGTGTGTGTGTGTGTGTGTGTGTGTGTGTGTGTGTGTGTGTGTGTGTGTGTGTGTGTGTGTGTGTGTGTGTGTGTGTGTCTTCCTGTCTTGTCTATATTTGAGTACTGCGCTACAGCTGCTGAGTGACTCTAATTCTGCGGATGTATATTTCATGATAATTTTGAAAAACTGTCTANAGCCGTTTAATACTTTTTAATAGCCTTAATCCTCGCTAAATTGATTTATCAACTTTTAATACTTTTTAAGACCCCGCGGACACCCTGGTAAATCAGTACTTTTTCTTACAAGTAATCAA